AAGATGAGAAAGCTTTAATTCACAGTGTCCTAGAAGATGTACTTAAAATATAATAAGGGGAGCTTAATCACAATAGTCTAATTGAAACAATAGGCAAGAAACAGAAAATAAGGTGCCAATATCTACAGCTACTTTAAAACAAAGCATCTAGTCACCAGAAAATAAAACATATAAAGAAAGACAATCTTTTATAGCAAAGATGCCAATATATAATCTTTCAAATAACTTAGCAAAAAAACAGGCTGAGTATATTAGAAGAATACTTAAAGAAAATAAACACATTAAGGAAGTAGAAAAAGATTCAGAAAAGAAAATTATTAGATAGGAGTAGTCTTTGACTATAAATATAGAAGAAATTTAGCAGTTAACAGAATTAAAGAAGAAAGTAACTGACTAAACCTAATTTTAGAAAAAGCAGAAAATATCCAGTTTAGACAAAAAAAACAAGAAAAAAATCAAACAGTACTGAAGAGATACAATTATAAAAAATATATAAATATAGACTGTATTATGGTCTAGAACCTTGCAGCAGATATAAAAAGACAAGAAGTTAAAGATATATATAAGAAATTGGGGAAGAAGAAGACATGTATATTAAGTATAAAAATAGTAAAGTTTTTGCAATAGTAGAATTTAACACAAGAATAGAAGGTGTAGACTTAGTCTGGGTACTTCTGATAAAAGATGAAAAACTAGTTCAAGTCTTTATAAGTAAAAAAGATTATAAAGAAAGTAATTAAAGACACAAGTTGGTAGTGAAACTAGTTATAATTACATAAGGCCTCTTAGAAATGCTACTTCTTAGATACTTGAAAAATAGAAAAACAATGGCAGTATATATCTCCAAAAGAAAGAGTAGACTTATGAAGCAAGTTGCAAAAATAACCTTTTGCTACTGAATAGAAATAAAAGAAGTGCAAAGAAAGTTAGTAAGATACAATAATCTTAATCTTTATTGGCTACAAACTAAACAAGAGAAGAAATTAAACAGAAAGCTATATGAAAAGACAGAAATATTGGTGATATACAGAGAGAAAGAAGTAAAATAAGTAATGAAGAAAAAGAAGTATTACTAAGAAGTGAAAAGTTTAACAAAAAAATATTATCACATAAAGAGAAAAGTTCTGATTTAGACTGAAGTAGTAATAATGAAGAGTATAAAGCAAAATGGAGAAATAAAAGAAGATATCTCAACAACAAGAAGGAAAAGAAAGAAGCCCAGTTTATGAGAATATTACAAATAGTAAAAGTTTTGCAGCAAAAATAAAAGAACCCCATATAATGCTTCAAAAAATTATACAACATCTATAGAAACTGAGAAACAGCCAATGCTTCTAAATTTAGGTGCACCAGTTAAACTAATAGAAGTAGATGAAAGTTCTAAATCCTTTTTGTAAGCAGATCCAAGAAAAAACTTCAATTAAGAAGAAATAATCCTTCATTTAACAAAAATATATATAATAGAAAGGATAAATTAGTTAAAAAGAAAATAGTAACATTGCAAGAAGAAAATAATTAGAGCAGAAGTAATATAAGCAAAGAATATTTAAATCAACTAAGAGAGCTTAATATTGCAACTCACAATATTAATGGTATAAAAAGCAATACTTATAAACTTGAGTTTGCTTATGAATGGGCATTAGATAACAAAATAGATATACTGGTGATTGCAGAGTCAAATATTACAAGTATAGAAGAAAATTGGTTATCTAAAGAGCAAAACAACTTCAGAAGCTTTTGAGCAAGCTTAGACCAAGATAAAAAGAAAGGTTCTGGAGTTGATTTACTAATAAATAATTGATAAACAAAACATATAGGGTAGTAGATAGAATAATCGAGTATATAATTTCAGTTAATCCATTTGTGAAACAGCATAAAGATGTTTACTTAAAGAGCCTATTAATGCTTATTCCATAATAATTATGTAATCTTTAAAAGTCATCTTTTGAAATACCCAAACATTTTAAAAAAGTCGGGTCTTCAAGGCCAATATCACAATAAGCCTTCAGCTAATTAAAAAGAAAAGAATATAATAGAGTTGCCTGCCGTAATTGTTTTTAACAAGTTGTAATATTACAACCTATATGTCGTAATATTGCAACCTATATGTCGTAAAGGTTGTAATTAATTACGGCAGGCAACTCTAGAATATAAACAATTTATTTAGATGAATTTAACCAAATGATCCTTAGATAATTTACCTCGCTTATAAATTCTTTATTACATATCCTTGATCCATGTAGTAATTTAAATGCAACAGCAAAAGTTATGTTAGTTTCCTAATCATTCCATTCTGCACGAAATACGGTTGCAAATCCACCCTTTCCTATCTCCTTAATATTTTTAAATTCATTGTAGGGAATCCACTTTAACTTTCAATTAACATTGTTTTCACTATGTCGTCAATATCAAAATTATCATGCGTCCATTCACTTGTGAATAATAAACTTTGCTAATTTTAGGTTGTCAAAACTATAGTTAAATTCCCTCGAACCTCTGGTAGGTGGCAAATGTAATATTTTCTTAGAATTGCCAGCCTCAAATAATTCAAATAATATGTTTATTTCAATTCCAACTTCTGAATATTAACGATAGTCAAATTGATGCATTCCGTTAGAATTATCCACTTCAACATATTTTTGACAATGAATAAGAACCATATTTAATTCAAATCCTAAATTCGCAATAATAATCAAATTTATATCAACTAGTTTATTGCAACCTACGAATTTCAGTTGAGTAATTTCATCTGACAGTTTAGACATAAGAAATTATATATATAAAACCTGTATTTGTCTAAGAAAATCAGAATAAAAAAAATAAAGTGAATAAACAATATTTTGAAAACAACCCCATCGCTACCATTTTAAAAAACTTTTCTTGCGGATCAAATTTCAGTATCAGATGCAACGCAAACGACAAAATTAATGATAACCAAAATGGCATAACTTTTATAAACCTTCTGTGCGCTAACAAAAAGTGCACTCAGCAAAACTTTGGTGTTGCTGTGCTCTTCGAACATTAATTTTACAGCAATTGCGAAAAATTCTTAATATGTATAAATGTTACACAGGTCGCTGCAAATGCAATAAAAATTTGTAAGATCGACCATAGTTCTACAAAAATAAATTTTCCACTTTTTTTTTACGTAATCAAATTTAACATGTTACGAAAAATTACAGCTTTTTCATATATTTTTAAGCCTAATCCATGTCGTTACAAATTATCAAATATAGAAATTTTCACACACGCTTTCCAAATTCGACGATTTTACGTTGAAGTTTCTAAAGAGATTAGTCAACATGAAAGTAATAAATCTCTTATAATAAATAGGTTAATAGAAAGTAGAAAAAGGTTGAACTCTAGTTGGAACGAAGAAGAAGTTAGAAAATTACTTGACGCAGTAGTTGAACATGGAACCAATTGGAAAACTATTTGGGAACAATATTTTAAACCAAATAGAAATCCTGGTAGTTTGAGAGGAAAATGGGAAAGAATGCATTATGCTAAACAAAGACCATCATACCATAATCCATGGACACCCGAAGAAAATAAAATATTAAGTGAAGGAGTAGCTAAATATGGAGTTGGGAAATGGGCACAAATATCTAAATTATTTACGCACAGAGACAGACATCAAGTTAAAAATCATTGGATAGACATATTATATAGAAATCGAGGTAAATGGACACCTGAAGAAGACAAGTTACTTCTTAACTTAGTCGATCAATATGGTATTAAATGGACGTTGATCGGAAGACATATGAATCGTGCACGGAATGATATTTATAGTCGTTATTATATCCTTATAAGAAAAGAGTGGACAAAAGAAGAAAACCAGACACTCCAAAATTTAATTGCGAAGCATGGTGAAAATTGGAAAATTATATCAGAACATTTTTCCAATAGAAGCATTTATGATATCAAGATGCACTATAAACAATGTTCAAGTATTAATCCTAAGGTTAACAAAGGAAGATGGACACCAGAAGAAATTAAAGCTTTTAACGATGGTTTTCTTAAATTTGGGAAAAAATGGAGACATGTTGCTGAATTGGTTAGAACAAGAACACCAGGTCAGTGTTGCTCATATCATCAAACACACTTTTCAAGAAAACAAAAAGCAAATCAATTAATTTTGTAGTGTAAGTATCGCTTTGTCTCTCAGCGTTGTTTTTTCAATGAATTTATTCTCAAAAAAAAGGGGGCAAAAAAAAGTGCAAAGATTTGTTATAGGAAATATTCATGCTTGCGTGTGTTTAGGATTTTGTTTAATTTTGTCTCTTTGTGTTAATTTTTCATGCAAAGGTTAGAGAATTGTGCAAAATGAGATGTAAAAAAATAATTTTGCCATTTTTACACATTACATATTTTCTTTTAAAAGAAAAAACATGGAGGTGGAAGGATTGTTAAATCACGGAATTGCGTCTTACGTTAATTACCGCTAATATAAAGGTTGAATTTTTTATCTTTAAGTTTTTTTTTGTTTTAGAAATTAATCAGTTATCGCATATTACAAAGTTATAAAGCTTTTTTTTATATATAAGTTCTAAATCTATTTTAATCTACTTCGGTTTTATAGTATTAAATTTTAAATTTTAAACTGAAATATAAATTTGTTTATATTTAAATATAAAATAGCTTTATTACTCTATAAAAATTTAGACAATTTCTAAACATAACTAGTAAATACAGTCAATACTTTCTGCTTACGTTTTCTTAAGAATCAATGGCACATCTATACCGAACTATTATGAAGTTTAAAATTTTGGGTTCGTTATACCAAAATTAGGTATATAGAGGTTCATTATTCCAGAGTCTACTGTAGTCAATATAATATCATAGATAGAATAATCATTATTTATATTTAGGAATAATGGGACGTATGTTTACCTTTCAATAACCATAGAAATTAATGATATTTGGATGATAATCAACTCTTTATAATAGTTTAATTTCGAATATTGTTAATAATAAAAATACAATATTATCTAGAAACATTTCAAACTTTAATATTATAAATACCTCATTAATAAAGTCTTTAATAATTTCTTCATTAAAGCCTGTATCTTTTAATTAAGTCTTTTCATTCGTCCTTAAAAACCTTTCTAAAGCCACCGATGCCAATCATTGTATGGTCTGTAGATTTATTATATTAATTTGTCCCTCAAAATAGCTTTTTCAAGCCGTTCTTCTGGAGCATTTGTCATATGTATGCATGTACGTACGTCCGTACGTACGTATTCACGATTTTCAATTATAAAATGATACAATATTCATTTAATATATTGATTGTTTATTAACAATTATTTGATATGAACTTTTCATGTTCGTGGATATATCATCATATAGATTACCATACAGAGTTCATTTTTATTTACATTTTATTTATTATGTGAGCCAAAATAACTATAACTTATTCAAAGTATTTGAAATGAGCTATCTGAATACATGAATACTTATCATTATTTATTCTATTAATTTAATGATGAAAAAAAATCGCTAACAATGTAAGATAAGCTGTCAAGTTCGTGAATATTTACCATCACGCGTTTTCCTTGTAAGTTCATTTTTGCTTGTATTGATTTATTAGATGAGTAAAAAGGATAATTATTAATCATAGTATTTGAATGTTTAAGTTTGCAAAGATCGGTGTTACGAATAGTTGTGGTGTATGATTGAGTAAGTAGTGGTGTATACTACAAAAATCGCATTTGAGTATAAAAAGCTAGTATACTATATACTCATAATATATATACTATATATAATATATATAATATATATATATATATAATATGAGATTTACTAACCACCAGCCTAGCTGATTTTATTAAAAATCAGCCTATCGTATAAATTATAAAATTAAAGTACCCGCACACAGTGGACGGCAATCACATAATACACTAACTGTCACACCTATTACACATTAACTATTACACTATTACACACTAACT